CATCACACGTTTCGTGGCCCCATAGGGAGCTCCACCGAAGGCCCCAGTGGCTGCGCCCGCATGCGGTTCCACCCCCCATTCTGGCACACCCCTCACACGTTTCGTGGCCCCATAGGGAGCTCCACCGAAGGCCCCAGTGGCTGCGCCCGCATGCGGTTCCACCCCCCATTCTGGCACACCCCATGCGGTTCCACCCCCCATTCTGGCACACCCCTCACACGTTTCGTGGCCCCATAGGGAGCTCCACCGAAGGCCCCAGTGGCTGCGCCCGCATGCGGTTCCACCCCCCATTCTGGCACACCCCTCACACGTTTCGTGGCCCCATAGGGAGCTCCACCGAAGGCCCCAGTGGCTGCGCCCGCATGCGGTTCCACCCCCCATTCTGGCACACCCCTCACACGTTTCGTGGCCCCATAGGGAGCTCCACCGAAGGCCCCAGTGGCTGCGCCCGCATGCGGTTCCACCCCCCATTCTGGCACACCCCTCACACGTTTCGTGGCCCCATAGGGAGCTCCACCGAAGGCCCCAGCATGCGGCTTCCAGGGTGCACCCACCCCCCATTCTGGCACACCCCTCACACGTTTCGTGGCCCCATAGGGAGCTCCACCGAAGGCCCCAGTGGCTGCGCCCGCATGCGGTTCCACCCCCCATTCTGGCACACCCCTCACACGTTTCGTGGCCCCATAGGGAGCTCCACCGAAGGCCCCAGTGGCTGCGCCCGCATGCGGTTCCACCCCCCATTCTGGCACACCCCTCACACGTTTCGTGGCCCCATAGGGAGCTCCACCGAAGGCCCCAGTGGCTGCGCCCGCATGCGGTTCCACCCCCCATTCTGGCACACCCCTCACACGTTTCGTGGCCCCATAGGGAGCTCCACCGAAGGCCCCAGTGGCTGCGCCCGCATGCGGTTCCACCCCCCATTCTGGCACACCCCTCACACGTTTCGTGGCCCCATAGGGAGCTCCACCGAAGGCCCCAGTGGCTGCGCCCGCATGCGGTTCCACCCCCCATTCTGGCACACCCCTCACACGTTTCGTGGCCCCATAGGGAGCTCCACCGAAGGCCCCAGTGGCTGCGCCCGCATGCGGTTCCACCCCCCATTCTGGCACACCCCTCACACGTTTCGTGGCTCCATAGGGAGCTCCACCGAGCGCCCCAGTGGCTGCGCTCGCATGCGGTTCCACCCCCCCATTTCGGCACACCCCTCACGCGTTTCGTGGCCCGGGGGCGCCACCGAAGAATATATCCACAATTGCGGTATTCACAACTACGTATGGTTGGGTCTTTCGTCAGGCTAATTGTTTTGTTTACAGCGTTTCGGAGGGCCGATGGCTGAAAACGCTGTGATTTACACCTTCTCGGAGCTCCGATGGCTGACTACACTGTATTTTTGTATCTGTCAGCCTGTGGCACCAATTCCATTAAAAAATGCTTCAAATGTCACAGCGTCATTGGATTTGTCATGTTCTGTATGTTTATTTATTGCCTTGGTTTCCTGCTGAATAACCCACAATAGGATCGCCTTCCGTAAGGCCGCCACAGAAGGAATCCTTGTGTAAGGTGGCCGCTCTGACAATTCCTTTGGAAGGCCGCCACAAAAGAAATCCTTTGGCAAGGCCGTCGCACAAGAAAATCCTTTCGATCAGTCCGCCACACATGGGAATCCTTTTGTGAGGCGGTTAGAAGCGCAAGGCCGCCACAAAAGGACAATTGTTGCCAGGCCATTATACAAGAACTCCTTTTGTACGGCTGCCACAACGAAAATATGTTCGTATAGTCGCCACTCTCAGGCAACATCTCTCGAACTCCTGAAACATGAAGATGTCGGGTGAGCTTGCACGGTTGTTAGCAAGCTCGCGTGTGAAAACTGCATGTTCCAAAACACTTGTTGTTTAAAACCCTTACGGGGGGAGGTCCGGGTCAGAATGCCCCCCCCCCCGCTCGAGGTCCCTGCGGGTCCTGGGGCGGGTCGCCAGCAGGGGTCCTGGCGGAAGTCCCGCTTTCAGGGTCAGCAGCGGCGGCCGTTAGGTCTTCGCAATGTTGATGTCCCACTTTTGCTTCCGCCACTTCCCGCAGGTGGAGCCGCCGTTTTATTGCCGCCATCCTTCTGCTGGTTTTGGCCGAAGCCAACACGCCGAAGGCGAGGCCCTTCTGGAACACGCAAGATGGTACCAAACTAGATGCTGAACAGTCGAAGGTCCGCGTGGATTTCTTGGGTCCGCGCTGGACACCACTCTCTTGGCGCGTAATCCGCGCGGACCTCCGACAGGTTTCCCCCCTCCCTGGCGCGCGGAGCGCGGCTGGTGCGGCGCTGGAGGCGCCGCCAGGGGGGTCCAGCGCCGATCCAAGCAACCTGCGCGGACCTCCGAAGGTGTATCTTTCTGCTATGCTAGCCAGCGTGGACACCAGACAGTAACTTGTTGCACTGGATGTGTAGGTTGTGTGGTGCAAGCAATGTTGTGTCAACCATGTGGTGAAGTATACGTGGAGCAAACTAGAGGCGACAACGAAGCGGAAACGGGCGGCAACGAAACGACACCTCGTCGAATTCATCCAGCGCGCGAGGCGGTAACGAGGCGGCCACGAGGCGGCAACATGGCGAAGTCCTCACCGCGCACACACGCAACGCACGAGGCGGTCACGAGGCAGCCACGGGCTGCACCGTGGAAATTCCTTGACACACTTAGCCAACTTATCCGTAAAATGTACGGTGCCGCGCTGTGCATGTGTAAGCTATGTGGTGCAAGCTGTGCGGTGTAAGCTATGTGGTGCAATCCACGTGGTGCAAGCCACGTGATGCAAGGAATGCGGTGCCGGCGCGGAAGTGCAGACTGTGTGGTGCAAGATCCGTGGCGCAACCTGCGTGGTGCACTGTCTGCGTGGTGCACTGTCTGCGTGGTGCAGGTTATGTGCCTGCGTGGTGCACGCAGGCACAGAACCTGGGTGAGGTGGGCAAGCTGTGCCTGCGTGGTGCACGCTGTGCGGTGCAGGCTATGTGGCGCGGAGATGCGTGATACCAGCCAGGTTGGGCGGCCGCGGGCGGCCACGGGGCGGCCACGGGCGACCACCAACAAACATCCTCGGGTCACCCACCCCATTCCTGAGCAGAACAAGTCAGAACCCCTGAGTGCAAGCACTGCCTGGGGAATAATAGTTCTCCGAATTCCGCCATCCCTGGCCCTCCTGGCGTCGCAAGAGAACACGCGCACAAACGACGATCGTGTCTTCGCGATTTCGGCATCCAAAGTTGCCGTGCTGGCTGCTTGGGACCAACAGAAAAAAATACCCGCGGCGAGAAACCAGCACAGAGGATGGGGCCGAATGCTCAGTGCTCTTCAGCGCCGTGAAACAATCATTGTCGCTACGGTGTCGGCTTGCCCCGGCACTCATCCTAGGCGATGCGGAACCTGCCCTTGCTGTGGTCGAGCGCCCTCGCTTTCCGAGTGGCGCATCGCATCGCGCCGCATGGCATGAGGGTAGGACCATGAAGAGGACGAGGGACACGAAGGGCTCGGACTCGCGGTACAAACGGAGCTCCTCAGCGAGCTCTGTTCTGTTCCGTGTCGCGTAATCTCCACTGGGTGCAGCACGAGAACGACATTGATCGTTGTGATCGCTGCTTAATAAGCTCTTGGAGGTCTGCGCGGATTTCTTGGCTCCGCGCTGGACCCTTCTCCCTGGCACGCGGAGCAGATGCGGCGCCGGAGGTGCCGCCGCGGGGGCCAACGCGCCGATCCTAGAAATCCCCCCGAAACTCCGATAGTTTATGTTTCTGCAGTTTTGTTGATTTGAACTGTCACCGCTGTCCTGGTTGATCCTCGATCCTCCAAACCTCGATCCTCGAACCTCGACAGGCGAGGCGGGACGGGCGCCGCATCCTGGCGAGCACGGCCGCCCCCGCCGTCACGGCGGCAGCCGCTGCCCGCCGGCACGCCACCATGCCAGCGCCGCCGCCGCTTCGGCGCGGGGGAGGAGGCGGAGGCCCCGACGCCCGCTGGTGAGCCAGCACACGACCGAGACCGCCCACGAGGGGGAGCGACGAGGGGGGGAGCCCGCTCCGGGGGGGGGGGCAGCATCGAGCTGGAATCGGCGATGCGTCGCCGGCGGGTCGGCGATAGGCCCCCGATAGCGAATCGGCAGGTTCCTGGGCAGGGTGGGCTATCGGCCCCCATCGGCGATGAATGGGCGATGGGGGATCGATGCGTCTCCCCCTGAGCCTCTTCTCCCGAACGTTGCCCCTGTGCCCAAGACGGCGCCAAGAACAGGACAAAATTGGACCAGGATAAATCAGGGATCCTTGAGATCTGTTGCCCTCTTGGGCGCCTCGGCCGATCCAGAGCGCTATGACCGATTTTCCCCTGATTACTCTCTGACCGATCGGGGTTCGAGGATCGAAATTTCTAAAATGTTTGGGCCTCCAGGAGGCCTTCCGTCGTCTACGGCCCGACTCCCCTCGGAACTCTGGTCAGGCAGGACGCGCCCGAGGACAGGTCTAGGGATGACTTTTGGGAGGACGGGGATGGTTCACGAAGCCGCCCCTGGCCTAAGTGGGTCGACGAGGAACGGAGTGGAGGCTTGGTAACAGACGCCGCAACCAACAGAGGTGGGTGCCTCCACCGGGGGAAGGTGATCTTGGGTTTTGGTGCTGGTGGTAATCTGTCGGCCGCGTAGCAGGCCCGAACATTACCACCACCACCACCACCACCACCACCACCACCACCACCACCGGTGGAGGCAAACGCCGATATTGGTGTCGGTGCCGACTTCTACGGTCGGGAACTTTTGGCGTGTCGCGGCGGCGGCATGGGTAACACGCAACGATTTGCAATCGGATGGCGCGTCGCTCTGCTCATCGGGGCGGGAAGCTTCGAAAAGGTCGGGAGGTTGACGCCTGGGGACCGGGACGTCGATAGCGTGTCGCGGCGAAACCGGCGGCGCGATGTGCGAACCAAAAGTTCCTGACCGTCTTGGTGCTGGTGCCAATGTCCAGGTTTCCAAAAGCAGTAGTTTCTCGCGGGCGGGCGCGCGCGCTCGCGGGAGCGCCCGACCGCTGAAAAGCGGCGTGCGCGGGCGCGTGCAGGCGCCCGCGCGCCCGCGCGCGCTATGTTGCGCACGCGGGCGCGCACGGACGCAGGGACGCGCGGGCGCGCGCGCGCGCGAGGGGGCCCAGGAGATGAGAACATCATCCCCATGCTGACACAAATAAAAAAAACACGCCTCACACCCACGCATTTGATGCGCTGGCGACGCGCTGCCGCCTCATCCTGGACACCGCGAATCTCAAGGCGCGGTCCTTCTCGGTTTCCGAAAGGTTCGACAAGGCGAGGTACAGGAAGCGCAGCAGCGTGAGGTCCTCCGGGCTCTCGAAGAAGTGGGAGCTGATGCCCACGTTCCGAGCAACCTTCATCACCTCGGGGTCCTTGGAGAACTTCTTCAGGGCCCACATGTAGTCGTCGCGGCCAATCTGGTGGGTACCTCGGCGGTCCATGACCTCGAAGACGGAAAGCAACGACTCCACCTTCGCATCCAGCGCGGCGCCGGATTGGCCAGCGGGGCCCGGCGCGCTGGCGCCGGCCATGCCCTTCTGGGACAGGGGGGCCCAGTGAGCAGACGACGGCGAGCGCCAGCCCATGCCAAGAGCGGGAGAGGGCACAGATCGCGGACACACCTCCGAGCCAGCGCAGGCGCTTCCAGGAGGGCACCTGCCCAGAGGGCGCACTCTCGCTCTTGGCGGGTGCTGAAGCCCTGGGCACCCCAAAGTCCTCCCCTGGGGAATCGAATCGCGCCCGCGCCCCGGAGAGGCTGGAGGGAATGGCAACACGGACAGCCGCTCGGAGCGGCTTTCGCGTACCAAGGTCTTCCTCGCCTCCTATGTTCGCCCCTTCCCCCCCCCGGCCCCTGGTGGAAACGGGTCCTGGTTGAAGCCGGGCCCCTGGCAGCAATGGGTCCTGGACCCTGGGTTTTTTCCACAGCGCTGGATTTCCATTTGCTCACGGCCCCAGGGTCCAGGAAGGGCCCCAGAACCCCTTACCTCCAGGACTGGTTTTCTTCGTGCTGACCCGCAGAATCGGACCAGAATGAATCGGGAATCTCTGGGAACCGGCATGTATCGGGCGCCGCAGCCGTTCCACAGAGTGCTCCAAAACGCTCTGAGAGCGCTCCAGAACGCCCTGGAACTTTGTATCCCAGTCCTACGGTCAAGAACTTTTGCATAGCGTGTCGCGGCGCGGCGGCCCGGGCGACACGCTATGTCTTGCAAGTGGATAGCGTGCCGCTCCGCTCCGCAGGCCAGGAGGCTGGGAACAGCTCGGGACGGTGACGCTTGGAAATGGGGACGTGGATAGCGACGCGCTGAACCAGAGTTCCTTGGCGAAGTCCCGCCCAACCGCCCCCCGACCTATGCAATAATCATGTTGCACGCGGCCAATATGGCTTCGGGGGGTGAAGATCTGAGATAAGTGGGCCCCGCCCACTTAGCAGAGGTATCCACCTCTCTACGCCACTTGGGCCACATGCAGCCCACTGATAAGCTAGGTCAAGCAAAATACAGCCCACCTCAGCATCCGTGCCTCACCCCTCGACCCACTCAATTGGCATCCGCGTGTGACCCAAATCCCGCCCGACCGCCCCCCGCGGCCTGACCTTCGGGCCTGGCGGGCCGGCGGCTCGGGAGCCAGGCGCGGTCGTGCTCCGAGCGGCGCCGCTGGCGGCCTTCAAGAGTAAGAACGGCATAATCAAACAGAAACGTTTGACGGCCCGCGCGGAGTTCTCGGATCTGCGCCGATCTCCCCTCCATGACGCGCGGAGAGCGCCAGCGGCGGCGCCAGAGGCGCCGCCACGGGGTCCAGCGCAGATCCAAGTCCAGACGTGCGATGTCTTGATTTGTTCAATACGGGGTCCTCGGAAGGCCCACCGGTTTTTCGTGCCGTGCCACTGTGCGGCGGCCCCAGAGCCAGGTAGGGCCCCCAGAGGCCCACAATGGTCAGAAATCTCCCGTCCTGAGCTTTTCAGAGCCCGAGCACGTCTGGGAGGAATCCGCGCGGACTGTCGAATATTTATGTTTGTGCCGCTCTTTCTTCTTCGAGCCTTGGCCGAGCTGCCTGGCCCCCGCGGGCTGCGGGTGCGCCCCTGCAGGGGCTGCACCGGCTGCGCGCTGCGGGGCACGCGCCCGCCGGCCCCTTGGCTGCCGGCGACCAGCGGCGGCGGCGATCCGGCGCTGGGGCTCGGCCGCTCCTCGGCGGCGGCGGGCGAAGGCGGCGGCGAGCGCGGCGGCAGCGGCGGTCAAAAGCGTCACGAGCGTAGCGGTGACGACGAGCGCGGCGGCGGCTGCGGCGACAATAGCGACGACGGCAGCCTCGGCGGCTGGTCAGGGGACGCTCAGCCGTCCGCATGCAGCGATGCTGGTCAGGCCCACCTCGGGCCCAGGCTCGGTGCGCACGCATGGCCGGGCCAGCAGGGCGCGTCCCGCTGGTCCTAGATCCTAGATCTCTCTCGGGGTGGGTCTCGGGCCCAGATCTCGAGAAGGGTCTGGCCGTGGCCACCACCCGCCCTCACCTCACCCCTTAGGAGGCAAACAAAGCAGAGGAGACAAACATCGCTATCCACCCTGCTCTCTCACCAGCCGTCCGACGATGTGCTTGTTTCAGTCCGCGATCGCCAGGGTGCCCAGAAGCTGAGACCCAGGGGGAACCTCCAGGATTGAACAAATTACTACGTCGGAGGTCTGGGTCTTCTTCCTAATCCTCTTCCAAGGTCCTCCGCCACCAGCCTCGCCAGATCGTACGTTGTGTCGCGCAGGTCGCCCCACACAGCGGTACGGAGGTCCTTGCTCAGCAGCGTGTCGCGATAGTCACACTCGACGTACAACTGCCAAGGTTTTTTGGGGAGATGGGCATTTTTGTTTGTTTTCTTTGCGGGCATGTTTGTTTGTTTTCTTTGCGGGGGGGAGTGGGCGCACAGAAGTGAGAGCGGGGGCCTGGGCCGATGGGGGAGCCTGCGAAGGAGGCAAGTGGCTTCTCAGAGGGGATCGGAGGTTGCTAAAAGATGGGGTGTCCGAATCGACTCATGTAGCTGGCTTCCCAGGCGTCAGAGGCGCCAGTGCATCCAGGAAAGCGCCAAGCGGCGGGGCCGAAAGCAGCTGCACGCAGCAGATTTCGCCCCCCACTCCCCGGCTTTTCCCCCCCCAGCTCTGTCCGACTCAATCCAACAATCCAAGAAAGCTCCTCAGAAGGCGGCAAGGTTCTCGAGGGCCACATCCCCGCTTCCTCTCGGGCGCACGCTGACATGGATGACGGATCCGTGGATCTGCCACGTGGGCGTCAGATCCCCGGATGGGGAAAATACCGCCCGAATCCTGAGGCCAATGCCGCCTGATTTGGCGACGGATCGCGCTGATTCCGTGCGGAAGCGGGTCTCGTCGCTAATCCACCCGCCTTGATCCGTGTTCGCGCTTCCTTGATCCTCGGAGGGCCGCCCTACCCTCCCTTGTCCCGCCCCCACTTGTGCGCGCCGCCAATGGGCGGCGATCAGCGCCGATGGTACTGAGACGAACACACCGTCGCCTGGCTACCATGAGGAGAGCCAGGCAAGCATCGAAGGGGATCTTGTGGCCACGGCGAGCCTGCGCCACGAATAGGTTCCACGACCTAAATCTAAGGAGCTCTAAGGAGCGGCCCGAAAACCAGAGCCCCTCCAGTCCAGAGATGTCCGTGCAGCGTCTTGACTGTAAGACCAGTTCCAAACGCCCTGAAGCCACAAAACGTCATCATCCTTGGGAACCGAAATTTGACATCCGCCGCCCCCTGCTGGCTTTCCGCCGGCGAAGCCCCTCTCGCTCTACTTCCGCCGCCTTCCACCGAGGAAGAGATTCTCGATCCCTCGGATGCGAGGTCCAGTCATGAGGGGGTCAACAATGCCTCTGCCTCTTCTCCAAATGCCCTCCTCCAGTGCCGCAATCGGATAACGCAACACGCGTGTCGTGTGGTGACCGCGCCCTCATTCTCCCTGAGCCTGGCGGTTCCGGCTGCTGATCTTCTTGATCTCGAGCAGCGAGCAGGCTGGCAGCAACAACTCCTGCTCCTCGGGGTACTGGCTGACGCGGAAAAGTTCCAGCCCCTGCCGCACTCCGCTGATCTTCAATACCACGTCCTGAACGCTGGCGTCGCTGTCGGCGATGTACCGGTTCGCAACCTCCGCGTCCATCGTGGTGCTGAGCGGGGCGGCCCAGAATATGGTGTCGCCTGGCCGCCTGCCCCGCAAGTGAGACACTAAGCCTGCTGGTGCGCCCACCATCACCTTCGTCACCTCAGTAACGAGCACAGTCCCTACAATTCGAGCTGATCCACGGTTGGAAGCGGCCGAGGGTCTGCGCTGGATGGTCCCTGAGAAAATCGGCTGAGAGGGGGGTGCGAGGGCAACTCCGCTTAAAATCGGTTCCCACACCCCTCCCGGCGTCGAAACTGACAAGCTCTTCGAGCCGCGTCCTGTCGTGGCGACGAGAGGGTCCCTGTCTCCGCCTCCTCTGCTGGCTGGGACCGAAGCTGGGCCACCTCAGCCCCTGCTCCAAATCCACGGCTTGGCCCGATCCTGATCTAGCTGGCCTGTGGTCGGAGGATCGCGCTGCATCGCCGAGACATCCACGATGCATCGGTGATGCAGGGCGACGTTGGCGTGGAGAGAATCGGTCGATGCCCCACCCGGTGGGCGGGCCCAGCCGACCGCCCTCCGTCCAGATGCATCGACGGATCGCCCAGATCGGCGGCCCTGAGCGAGCTCTGATGCCGACGGACCGACGACAACGACGACGACGACGACGACGACAGCGACGACGACGACGATGACGACGAAGGCTACGACGAGAAGGACGAGGAGGACGAGGACGAGGACGACGTCCAGATAGATCGACGGATCGCCCTGATCGGATGTCGACGGATCGGGGCCTTTTGAGTCGGGCGTGTTCGTGTCTTGATGACTTCGGCGCTGGATTCTGACACCGCGGGGATCGTTCAACCTTGACTGATCGGCCGTTTCCAAAACGTCAGATCCTTCAACATCCACCGATTCTGGGTCTCCGCCGGCGTTCAACGTTGAACGCCGGCGGCGGTGTCGACGCTGGTCGACACGACGCGAACCTACCGCAACCGGGCTCAGCGCAGACCCGGCTCAACCCATTTCGAACAAGCTGCACTGCAATTTTTAGGGGGGGGCCCAGGTCCGGCTCAACCAACATGTAAGGCCACCTCCAAGGCCGCGATCGGCTAGGCCCAACTCCGGCTTCGCAGGATCACGCACGATCCGGAGCTCTGGCTGCGCCCCAGCTGCGCTGCGCGGCCACGTACGTGCCGACCCCTTCCCCGAGGGAAGTTCTTCACCCCACGGTCTCGAGAGGCGCAAATCGAAGAAAGCACCAGGGTTGAACAAACCATATCATCGGAGTTCTGAGCCCGTCACCGTCCGCTCTGGCAGGGGCTCGCAGGCCAGGGTGCTCAGCAGGCACACGCACTTCACCCACGCCTCAAGGCAGTCCACGGAGACAGCCATACCGAAAACCGACCGCACCCCGAACCGACAGCGGGGAGAACGCGTTTCGTGGACGTTTGCTTGGAACAAATCCCTGGGCACATCGAAACCAAGGAGGGGGGCGCCAGAAACATATGAAGCGCCTGGAGAACCGCCCCCCCCCCCCCGGGGGTGGCCACCCTCCCTGTCCAAGGGGGGGGGGTCGAACTGGGGCCTACCCCCGTCCCCTTGATAGAACCCTACTTGTGTTCGATCAAGCCCTAACAGAATCCGACCATAGTTTGATTATGGTCAAACTCCAGTCTCATCATAGTCGGGCTCCATCCTGCTCTCATCGAATTTCACTATAGCTGGATCCAGCTCTAAAATAATCCTTAGGGCCCGATCAAACTCTAATATAATCCGATTATAGCTGGATCCAACCGTAATAGCATCCTAGTCGGACTTGATCCCTCTCTTGTAGAATTCGCCTCTACAGGTCTAGCTCTAGCTGAATCCTGCTCAGGCCCGATCCATCTGACACAGATCCCTACCATAGCTAATTAGGACCAGATCTACTTGAACCCTATGAGGGTTCGATCCAGCGCTGGCAGAATCTATCTTACCAGGGCTCGATCCAGCCTCATAGCATCCTACAAAGGCTCGATCGTCGCCGTCGTTGCCCGACGGCACTGGCGCCGGCGACGGCGCTCGCCGTCGTCGGCTGCCACTGGCGAAGTAGGCCCCACACCCGCGGTTCGTACCTCGCCCCCTTGCATTTCAGGCCCCCCCCCCGCCTGGCTCGAACGCCTCGACCTTCCCAGCGTCCACAGAACGCGCTCTTTCCGACAGCGAAGCCGAAACCGACGACATCGGCAGGCCGCAAACTGCCGAGAAGGGCGCAGCGACGCGGCAACGACACACTTCGCCCACCCAACCGGTCAGAGGTGCTGAAATCTCCAGGGAGAATTGCATCTTGATTCTAGATCGCACGCGCGTGGCAGCCCCGTTGGGTCCGCGGACGTCAACAACTCTGGCAAAATCCCAGCGAGGTCAAGGTCCCCGCAGGTCCCGGCAAGGTCCCAGCAGCTCCCGGCAAGGTCGGGTCCGAGATGCTGAAACTCCTGAGCGCGGCCTCGGCCCCCCCCCCCCCCCAAGCGCCCCAATGAGGCGCCAAAGGGTAGCCCGCCCCCACGGCCTGCATTCCAAGATGGTCCACGTTGGTCCCAAGACGGTGCAAGAAGCGCCCAAGACGCTCCAGGAGGGCTCAAAAAGGACTTCGAGAGGCCCCGAAGACGCAACAATCATTGATTTTGCTTCGGTTTTCTGACGTTTTTGGCGGCAACGCCTTTTCGAGCGGCCGACCGCCCTGGACGGCCCAAGAGGCCCCAAGATCGCCCCAAAACGGCACAACAAGCATCCAAGAGGGCCCCCAAATGGCCCAAGATGGCCCTAAGGCGGTCCAAGAGGCCTCCAAGACGGCCCCAGGATGGCCCCAAGAGAGGGCCCAGAAGGGAACACGAACAGACATTTCGAGCTCTCGGCCCCAAGAGGCACCCCAGAGCGCCCCAAGAGCCACCCAAGAGGCACCACGAGGCCCCACCAGAGGCGCCCAAGACCCCCAAAAGGCCCCCAGTAAGTCCCAAGAAGCCCCCAAAAAGCCCCCAAGAGGCCCCCCAGAGGCCTCACAACTGCTCCCCAGAGGCTCCCGAAGAGCCCTCCGAAGGGACCCCAAGAAGCATCCATGAGAGGTACCTCTCGAAACTCTGCTGGGGCTCTCTTCGACAGGGTGCGAGCCAAATCTCCAAAGATCTCCTCGAGGACAGGCCTACCTGCCCTACCGTTCCCCATGGGCACGAGCTCACCAACTGCAACCACCGTGATGCAAAATGGGCCGGCGGAATGAGCGAAGCGATTAACCGACCGGACCGAACCGACCGAACGCAACCGACTGCGACGGAGCCGAGCCGAGCGAACCGCGAACACCCTTTTCGGAGCAGGTTGAGACAGTGGCAGCTCAAAGTCGGTCCCGGGACCCTTCCGGGAGTCCGCTCGCCCTCCTTCGAAAAATCGACCGAACCGAATCGACCGAACGCAACCGTCTGCGACGCAGCCGAGCCGAAGCATGTCGCGAACCCCCAAATCTCCGACGTCGTGAGTTTCAACGAGGACCCCACGAGGTCCAGACCCCTTCCCTGGGATCCGTTTTCCTCCCGGGCCGTTTCCAACAGTCCTGGGGCCCGGTCAGGGCTCCGGAACGCAGGCCCTTGCCAAAAAACTCTCATCGCGTGTTTTTTCGCAGTACGAGGAGGGAGTGATGATGATGATGATGATGATGATGATGATGATGATGATGATGATGATGATGGTGATGATGATGAAGAAGATGATGATGATGATGATGGTGGTGATGGTGATGGTGATGGTGATGGTGATGGTGATGGTGATGATGATGATGATGATGATGATGATGATGATGATGATGATGACGATGATGATGAGAACGATGATGATGATGATGATAATGATGATGATGAGGAGGAGGGGGAGGAGGAGAAGGAGAACGAGGAGGAGGAGGAGGAGGAGGCGGAAGAGGAGGATGTTGATGATGATGAGGAGGAGGAGGAAGGAAGATGAAGGAGGAAGGGAAAAGGGGAAGGAGGAAGGAGGAGGAGGAGGAGAAGGAGGAGGAGGAGAAAGGAGAGGAAGGAGAAAGGAGAGGAAGGAGAAAAGAGGAAGGAGGAAGGAGGAGGAGGAGGAGGAGGAGGAGGGAGGAGGGAGGAGCCGAACCGACCGAACCGCGAACACCCTCCGTGCCTCCAGCGCCCCCTTGGCGGCCACGCCGCGTTCCTCCAGGAGCTCGGCCGCGGGCGCCGCGCCGAGCAGGCCCTCGGCGTCCAGAGCGCGTAGCGCGTCGGTGCAGCCGGCGGCGGCGCGGATGGCCTCGACGGCCACCGCCGAATTGCGCACGCAGCGCGCGGACGCCAGGCGGTCCCGATAGGCCTGGGAGGAAGCAGCAACGCGTTACTGCCGCCATGCTCATCGTCATCGTCTTCGCCACTGCTAACGATCGCCACCGTATGCTATAACTCGCACTTTTGATTTAGTTTGCTAGCGTAGCTGAGCAAGCCTTGGGACAGAGTCGCACTACGCAACCATTGGGGCGAGCCAAAGGACAGAGTGTACTCACATGTGCGTTTTGATTCTCATTCACTCTCTTTGTTGGGCGGTCCATGTAGGCCTGTCAGATCTGAGGAAGAGA